TTTCTCAGCGTCTTCAGATGGAAGCGAGTGCGAGTGAAAGACGGTTTATGGTAAGTAAAGATTAAAAATGTAAAGTCATCATTCATTGTTTGAGTCCGGTAGTATCTTGAGATTTCATGGAAGGCGGAAATATTCTGAAAAGAGCTTATATTGAAAAATACGCGGACGCGAATTTCGCCTCAGAAATAGTCTTAAGTCTTGGTCTTAGTCTTTTTTACTCTTTTACTGAATGGAAGAGGTGCTTTTAAAGGGGTCATATGATGCTGCTAAAAAGAACATTATTTTGTGTATTTGGTGTAATGAAATGTGTTTATGCGGTTTAAGGTTAAAAAAACACATTATTTTCCACATACTGTACATTATTGTTTCTCCGCTATGCCCCGCCTTTCTGAAACGCGTCGATTTTTACAAAACTAATCGGTCTGAAAAGCGAGGTGTGCTCTGATTGACCAGCTATCCAGTGCGTTGTGATTGGACGAATACCTCAAGCGTGAGACGGAAATGTTACGCCCCTGGAATGCGGAGATTCCATCGTTCATTTGTGTGATGTTCGCAAATGCCTTACATAGGCGTGGCTGACTCTTAACTTTTATAAAGAATATCTCTTTGGATTTGAGACTTTAGTCTTTGCAACTTTACAGATCTTCTTTATGCACCAAGAGCTTGTAACACTCTAAAGAGAAAGGAAAAATTGAAATCGCATCATATGACCCCTTTAATATAACGTCAGTGAGTGTCTTATGTAATATTTACATAAGATTTTACAATATTTACATTTTTTGAGGTGTTAAGAGAGGGTTATTAACATATTTACATGTTCATTCGTTATATTTTTTTTCGCGGTTAAACAATGTAGTTTCCTAAAGGAAACGGCATTATGTAATAAAGACTAGCCTAATTATTTTGAGGCTGATGAAGTGCAAGTAAAGTTCATAATTCCATCATGTTATCAATTTTTTTTTTTTACTAAGAGTAACAGAATGTTTGTTTTTGTAGATGTTGACAGCCAGAGGCATAGGAGAGCATCATTCTTTTGAGATTGATTTGAGTTATTTTTAGAAAATAAATGTTTCTGTCTTGGGTGAGCTATTCCTCTAAAGCAGCCTAATTTAGCTGCTGTTAAAATTTATGTCAATAATGTTAATCAAACATTAGAAAGAAAATCACTCACTGTCCTTGACCGAATCACTTTTGTAAAATAAATAAGAATGAATGTATATTGAATTTATACAGTGAAGACTATTCAGTTTATTTGTACAATTATTTTATACAATATAATTTCTTATTCCGTGCTTTAAGTGTTTCAAGTAGGTCTATTTTTTGTAATTTGTGTCTGTGTACTTGTCTTAAGTATAAGCTTGTTTTTATTTAGGCTAGTATTTTTATTATTATTATTTTTTTTATATATTGAAATTGGTAACAAGAATTATAGAATTTCAATGCATCAAAATTTTGACAGGATAAAAATCCTTTTTAAAGCTATATACTCCCGCGGGACCCAAAGCAACAGGGTGCGGCGCGGGACAACTCTTGATGGGCGAGTGCGGGTGCGGCCGGGAAGAGACTCGTGTGTGTGCGGGAGAATAAAATGATTTGCGGGACTCCCGCAAAATAGAAATTATCTAAACATAAAATGTCTAAACCATATAAATTGTTATTTATGTGTTGCACAAAAGCAAAAAGAACAACTAATAACATTAAAATGATTACGCAAGCTAGGCAGCGTTTCTATTTATAACACGTGTTTAAAGCAGGGTTGTGCAATGTAGCCAATCACAGACTCAGCTGTTGATTTAAGTAGAATCCTCTCACCGTAGTGCTGAAATTGCGTGCTCACAAATAGTCTCATTTTAACACACGAAGTGCAGACATTGTGAAAGATTAATTGTGCATAGGCTATGTTCATTGTGTTAAATAACAAATATTTTATCGGGAGCATTTATGCTGGTATGTTGTGGATCTTAGGACATGTTACAGAACCATTTAATGTAAATTTCTTTGATGTGCTGAAAAAAATCTATATAGATTACTTTTATGCGGGCTTTTGCGGGCGGGAGCGGGACCAGATAAGATATTTTTCTGCGGGAGCGGGCGGGCGCGGGACAGAAAAATCAGTCTCGCGCAGGTCTCTACTACATGGCTCCCTGCAATACAACTCTGATTCTTCAATCGTGCCATCTAGTGGTCTGTAATGGATACAAACACAACTGCTACAACAAAGTCATTTAGAGGTAATCAAAATATGTCAAATTAATATTTTGCATTCAAAAGTTTACTTATCAGGCAAGTGGGCGCATGATAAGCGGGAAAATTACGCAGTGTAGTCTTTATCACCCTGCAGAGGTTTCTTTTGCAAAATAATCTGCTGACTGTACACTATCCCTCAGCCTTGCCGCGCCCCCCAGTTTGGGAACCACTGCTTTATTCTTTTAAACGGATACATTAATCGTGTTTATTATTTTTTTATTTAAGTGGAAATCAGTTAACTAAATAATGTAAATATGACTGACTGCTTCACTTCCACTTTAAAGGGATATTTGTGTTGTTTGTTTTATGCATTCAAATAATTAGACATGCTAAAACGCATAATTTGGTAACAATAAAAATATAAATAATATGGTGAGAAAAAATAAAACATTTCATAGGGCCCTAAACATGTAATTTCTGTTAAACTTTTAATAAATTGATGTCAAAATGTATACGTTTCATGATTTTAATTAATTAGACATGCTTTTTAATTAATACAATTTTATTTAACTATTAAAAAGGAGTCGAGAAAAAATAAAATAGAAAAAACGGAATTTGGAAAAAAATACAACGGAATTTTGGAAAAAATAAAAGTGATTTCATAGGGCCCTAACTATCCCTCAGCCTTGCAGTGCCCCCCAGTTTGGGATCCACTGCTTTTTTTTTTTAAATGGATACATTAATCGTGTTTATTATATATTTTTTTATTAAAGTGGAAATCAGTTTACTAAATAATGTAAACTTGACTGACTGCTTCACTTCCACTTTAAAGGGATATTTATGTTGTTTATTATTTATTTTTATTTATACTATTTATAATTTTTGTACAATTACTTGCCTGTCAGTTGAGTTTGTGGCAAAACATTTTGCATTGTTTACATGTTGTTTATTACTGCATAAAATGTATTAAAATATGTTTAATTTCATAAAGTACAAGTTGATTTCAAAATGCACCTACATTTTTTGCATTTTGTGTTTTTCAGTTGAATAAAAGACTATTTTCCCCTATATATTTCATCATTGAGGATTTCTTTAAAAAAGTCTAAAAATCTCGTCTCGTTTCGTTCTCGTGAACCCAGTCTCGTGTCTCGCCTTGTCTCGTGGGATAAGTGTCTCGTCACACCTCTATTAAGTACCATAGACAAACTCCAGGATGGAACAGACTGTATATTGGTAAGC